TATGGGGTAAGGGGGAGGTAGGGTAGTAGGCTACCCCCAACGCCAGGTTGAGAGTAGCTTCCGTGGAAGACCTCCGGCAGTCAGAAAATTAAAAATTTAGATAAATGCAATGCATGTATAATAATACATAAATACATAGCTAAAACAGTATTCATATGCAGTCATTAAAATCATATGTGCGTCTGTAACGGGAAATTAATCCCTGCATAAATATCCCTGCGAAAGAATCTCTGCATATAGACAGAAACATAAGATCCGGCTAAATTTAAAAGAGGAAACATGAAGAGAATGATACACAGAAGTCAACGTTAGCAAGCCCAGTTCTAATCCTTCATAAATACCAATAACAGAAACGTATAAAAGATAATCATGGAAAATACTACAAAGACATTAAAAGAAGACAGAAATGATACACCCTATAGATGTGACCCACACTACTCGACTACCCTCTTTAGCCTCCATATTTTCCTATCAGAGGTCATGTCTTCGGTAAGGGCTAAATCCCTCAAATCAATCTCAAGCAGTCTTCCCACTTTCGCCTTGGTCGTCCTTTCCTTCTGGCACCGTCGACTGTAATCGACTCTACCCTCCTTACCGCATCCGACGGTAGTCGCCTAAGACATGCCCAAACCACCGTCATCCCTCAGAGTCCTACCACATGTCCATCGAAGCATTCTCATTTCTGCGGCCTCAATCCTCCTTACGTGATCCTTCTTGGTTGCCCAACATTCTGATCCATACAACAGCGCTGGTCTTATTGCCATTCTATACATTTTTAAAAGTTTGCATGAAAAATTCTTTGTATTGTTTTGTCGGCCAACAAGTTTAAGATTGTTGTCCCTGTTTGATTCTTATTAGCTCTTTTTGATGGCTTTGATTTGGATGAAAAAAATATGTGCATCTGAAGTTGGATGAAAAAATATGTGCATCTGAAGTTGGATGCAAATGGATGAATGCAAATGCAATAAACTCAGTGTGGTTACCTCGTCTTTTATTCGTTCTACCTTGTGAAGTTGTAGATGCACAAAATAGAATGAGATAATTCAAATGTTAAAAATTTGATTGCAGAAAAGGGGAATCTTTGCCTTTATGGATTTCCTAGTGAGCAGTGGGAGGTGAATTTACCTGCAGAAGAGGTGCCTCCGGAGCTTCCAGAACCCGCACTGGGTATTAACTTTGCAAGAGATGGCATGCAAGAAAAGGACTGGTTGTCTTTGGTTGCTGTACACAGTGACGCGTGGTTACTCTCTGTGGCTTCCTATTTTGGTGCTAGGTTTGGATTTGATAAAGCTGATAGGTATTTTTTACATCACATTCTAGGTGTAAATAAGTTAATTTATTTGGTTAGTAGCATGCACACACTTCTAGCCTAGTTTACTAAAACAGTTGATTCGTTTCTCTTGTAGTTTCAACGTTTTGATTTTATTAATATTTATAAGGTATTCATATATATATATATATTGCATTGACTAGTTTAATTTATTTGCAAAACGGCTCTAGGTGTTAACCTAATTCTGAAGTACGATAGCTTTGATCCTTGAATTTACCTTAACATGAACCGCTTACAGATTATGCGTATACATTATAAACAAGGCATAGCAGAGTGAGCATGATTAAATTGGGATGCTGTGTACTAGATTTGCATGTGCCTATAACAAGTTTGCCATATTTTGCGCTACAATTTTTACTCCATGCTTGTTGATGTGATGCAGGAAACGCCTTTTTAATATGATAAATGATCTTCCAACAATATTTGAAGTTGTGACAGGAACGGCTAAGAAACAGACGAAGGAGAAATCTTCAGTTTCAAATCATAGCAACAACAAATCTAAGTCAAACTCTAAGGTAGTATTAACCTTTTTCTTTCCTGTTTCATCAAACGATTAATAAGTGTTATTTTAAGGGTTGTGGTGGGTTGGTGTTGAAACTAAAACATAATATTACATTATTCTCACTATTTGATAATGGCTTCTGACATTGCAAAAGCTCTAGCAGTGAAAGTCTAGTTCTTCGGAACTGTTGCCATTGTTGTTTGTTACATCAATATTTATGCAAACTTCATTCTACTCGTGGTGATGGCTGACCCAAAAGAGGGAAATAACTTCAAATTTTCAAGGAGACCTTATAAATTAGATTTTTCTTGTCCCTTTGTGTTTGACAAATTGCAGCAAGGTTCTGAAGCTCAACCCAAATATTCAAAGACAGTGCCACCAAAGGAAGAGGATGATGATGACGAGGAAGATGAGGAGCATGGAGATGCATTATGTGGGGCTTGTGGAGAAAATAATGGAGCTGATGAATTCTGGATTTGCTGTGACATATGTGAGAAATGGTTCCACGGAAAGTGTGTCAAGATTACGCCAGCTAAGGCAGAGTACATTATGCAGTACAAATGCCCATCGTGCAACAACAAGAGAGCACGACCTTGATGACAGCCAGTGGCTGTTCGTGTGTGAATTCTATCATTGTGGAGTTCACTAATTGTCTAGAAGCTCATCCTCTTAAGTATGCTCTTAGTCGATTATGTTCCTTTGTCTTGGCAAATCTTTCATAGACTTTCTGTGTAGGTCGCAATGCTCTGTTTAAGTTGATTATAAAATAGGATATTAATAAGTTCGAGAATCATTTTTCTTAGACATTGGAAGGGAGACTGGACTTAATTGATTCTTCTTGTGTTTATATGCATGCGGCTTCATTTCCTTTTTTTTATCTATTATTTATCTATTTTCCTTATTTGGGGGCAGTAACAGCAGTATAAGACACGGTTCAGTCCAGCACAATGGCATGGCCTGCTTGATGATGGCTCTTGGGCCAAGTGGTGTTTAACCCGATCCATATTTGAATAACACTTGAAATCAAAGTATATACATGATAGATAGATAGATAGATAAATAGATAGATAGATAAATAGATAGATAGTGATTCCTATAATACTTGTCCTCGATTGAGACGCCTTATCCACCATGAAAGGCACATGATTTGCATCATGTCATGTGTCTGTTGATAGTGTAAATTGTAACTGCAACTGCCAAGTGAAATAAGCATGAAAAGTGATTCCAACGGTGACCTTTTCATTTTTCTGAGGATGTTTTCACGGCTGTAAGTAGGGTTCATTTCAGACACTAAACCTCCAATTGGTTCAGGGATGAAGGTTTTTTTTAATCTTGAAAATGTTAATCTCTGTACGGAGGGAGACAGTTCGGCTTTGTCCCACTCAATTTTTAGAAGTATTATTTTACTTCTTTATAGTATTTTATGTACCGTTTCAGTATATATTCTAAAACCAAAGATACAGTAATAGGCTATATTATAATATATTAAAAATTTTGTTAAGGAATAAAATTATAAAATACGTTATTTTATAATATTCAAATAAAAATGAAAAAGTAGAGCAGAGCAGATGGAGCAGAGTTATCACCAAGTTTTCTGAAACATGTAGCCCAAAAAAACACTTAAGACTTATCGATTTCTGTAGCGTTTTGTATGAGATCATGCTTTGTTTTTAAAGAAGTCATCAAATTTGTTTCAATCTCAGTTGTTCAAATTGGTCTATGAGACAGATAAGAATGGTGTATGTATGGCTGTTGTGGTTAAAAGTAAGAGGAAACACCGGATGAGAATGGAACTTCATCCCTGCCCGTAGTTTTCTGGTTGGTGTTGGATATGATCCAACAGGCACATGGATTTTCCAATCGGCTCCTGGTTTTTGAATCCCATGTGATTGTGTGCGACTCTGACTCCCATATTTAAAAAAGGAAAACGAAACTGCCCCTATCATTTATCATCTCTCTCTGTTGCCTGCCGGCTGCCGCCAACCAAAGCTTCTTTAGTTCTTTGAATTTACCGATGCTAATGGCAGTTTCTGGATTAAGCTGCAAATTTACTTCCCGCATTTAAGATGAAAGTGAACACTAATCTAGCACTTCTATTAAATGCTGTACCTGAGAATTCAACTTTTTGCAATGGTCCACCATATCTAATCCCCCTTACCCAGTTAATATTTTATCTTCTATTTTTGGGTGAAACATCAAGTATACATGCAATGAACGAAACCCATCACCTAGCACCCATATCAACATTAACTTACTGTTGCTAAAAGGAGAAAATTAAACAAAAACAAAATGTCAGCACACTGAATATGAAGTCTTGACAGTTCCATTACCATTTAGACATGGTAGATTGATAGTTGACTAATGCATTTTCCTACTAACTGGCCAATGGAATAGGATACATTCAGCTCAATGAAAAATATACTGGAAAGAAGGTTCAGATAAACGAGATACAGTGAAACATGGCCTAGAAAAAATTTTCAGATCTGTGCCAGTGTAACTGAGGAAGGGTGCATGTTATCTTAGTGCACCATGCAGGTGACCTATATATTTTAAACGAGTGAGACATTATTTATTGTTTTATATAATAAAGCAGATGGACTGCCTCAATCTTTCGATGATTTACTTCTGTCGTCTTAAGTGTTGTTTTAAGAAAGGAGTAAAGTTGGGGTTGAGATTTGAGAAGATCAATGTGTTATATGACCCAAAGTGGCTTTGAGTATTACCCTTTTGCATCCAAATTGTCTGTGACTTTTCAAGTTTTTGAAGGGCACAGCCAAACCAAGGTCATATCATATCTGGTAAGTAAAAGCAACTTTATGGTCTTATATTGGAATTGAAGTAAGCTGAAGCAAGAAATAGACATCATGATCTCAAATTTATTTCTTTTTCAATCATCATTTGACCTACAATGAAAAGATTGACAACATTAACTTTTTGGGGGGTACAAAAAGGTTAGAATTATAATAGATTGACAACATGAATTTAGAGCGACCCTGTTGAAAAAGAAAGAAATTTCATATAGATGTAAATTTTACATTGATAGTGATCCTACAAAGCCAAAATAAGATAAAGAAAAAAAAATTTACACTTGGTAGACCAACAGGGAATCAAGGTTTCACAAGCTTGAAGCATCTCAAGTGTGAGAAAATCTGTATGTTTTTTCTTTCCCCTTCAGCCCGCCTTATATGATGTCAAGCTCTCTTGGCTCTTAGTTGATAACCGTTTCAAGAACTCATAGGTAGTGATCATGGTTGTTGCGGACATGGACATTGACGCCCACCTTGGTCCCAGTCCCCTATAACAGGCTGCTAATCCGCCTTCTTTAACCAAGTTCTTTACAGTCTGCAAAACCGTCATTGGTCGTCTTATGCCATTCTCTTCTCCGTCTAGAACCTGTAATCTGGTTTTGATCGTGTCGAGTGGCATGGTGATTAGAGCTGAAACACCACTAGCCATGGCTGCACTTAAACCTTGGACAGCTATCAAGGCCTTGGAATCAGGCTTGAAACCAGGTCCTCCAATCAAACCATTCTCATCTTTTTTACCAATAGAGCAACCAAGACCACCCCAAATGAGCTTGTGAGCAACAGAGTACGATGTCCACCAAACCGCATTTGACGGTCCGTATGTCAGTATCGAGATCCCAAATCCCCTATACAACCCTCTAGGGCCATCTGCATACAGAATCTTCCTAAACGCATCAAAACCATTCTTATATCTACAAGTTGAAATTGGATTTTTGCAACTGTTGCTACCTTGAATCATAAGTCTTTGGCTCACAACATCGATTGGGGTCCAAACAAGTTGTGCAGCCATAGCTGAATTTAACCCGGCAGCAGCACTAGCTATAGCAGTGGCTGTAGTATCTGAGAATCCTAAACGAACAGTTGCAGTGCCAACACTGCTCTTGGTAACCTCAAGGGCTCCCATGTAAAGTGCTCGAGCTGGGATTGTCCCCATCAAGGAGGTGCCAAAACCCCTGTAGAATCCCCTCAATCCTTCATATCTCATGATGGAAAGAGACATCTTGGAGCAAGAAATTTGTGTGGATGACACTTGTTGCCTAGTTTTCAAAACTACTACAGGGTAAAGAGCAAATGATACACCAGAAAATAAACCGGCACCAAGGAAAAAGAACTTGGATTTATCAAGCATATGCCAATCTATATCTGCCGGTAAATGAATATCTGACCCCGAATCATCCTCGGCCGCACTTAAACTCATTTTCGCCACTTTGTAAACTGTTCAGTGCAAACAACTCAAATCTCCTTTTTTTTTTGTTATCCTTCCACCAAAATTAATCAAAATCCAATCCAAAATTCGATGTAAAGTTGTAAACCAACCGAGCTCAAGTAAAATAAAACTCCAGCTATTTGGGTTTTCTATAAAATTAAAGCTAAAAATTAGTATGAGAGTGAAGAAAAAAATCAAAAAGGTTTGAACAAAAGAAAAAGAAGAAGAGATCAAAGAGGCTAAAAAAAAGGGTTTTAATTTTTTTAGTATTTGGATTTTGGACTGTACAAAGTTAGGAATTACAGGCGGAAAGGAAAGGGAAAATGAAGGCAAAAGACCAGAATAAGAAAGGTTTCTGTTGGTTTTCTCTTCTTCCTTTTGCGAAGCCAAATCCGAGAGTGAACGTGGATCAGCAGAAATAAATCGAACATTTACTCACCATACATATGCAACATCTTCAAGGCTTCATCTTTTTGTCAGTAGGCAACTGGGAAATCACAAAAAGAGAGAAAAAGCACAGATCTCGATCGCAAAGAATATGAAAGAAGGGGGCAAAAAGTGGGTTTGGGGAATATGAAAGCCGTAAATGAGAAAAAGAGAGCTTTAACGGTAGAGACTAGAGAGAGAAGGACATGGTCATGGATTTTAGCACTTTGTTTTGCGGATCGAGGAAATAGACACGTGTCGGCAATCTACTCTGATAGGTATTAGTTTTGTAGGCTGATTTTAAGGTTCACTCAGTTTAAGCAACTTGATTGTTACTGGTGGCCGTGTTTTCGCTTTGATGTCACGTGTGGTAGGCGTATCTTCGGGGACGCGCCTTCACTGACTCGACTGCTACGTGTGGAAAGCGCATCTCCGAAGACGCGCCTTCCATTAAATGTCATAAATACCCTCATCTGTTTTTTCTAACTACTCCTCCTCCTCCCCTATATAAACCCCCTCAACCCTCCCTCATTCTTCACACCAAAATCATATTCTCCTCTCTTATATAACTCAAATTCTCCAACTATTTGAGTTTTAAATTATTATTAGTGGTAAGAAATTTATTTTATGTTAGTATTTTTTTAAATAGTTATTATTTTTTATATTAATATTTATGTAAATATTATTTTTTATTAAAATAATATTTATATATTATTTATTTAGAATTATTAATTTTTTTGCTAATTATATTGTTTTGTCTACAGTTATAATGGAAAACGAAATGCTGTTGCGATTGGATATTGATCATATCTCCAGACATTTTAGCGATATGGTAATATTTTTAATAATTAATGTATTTAAATTTATTTTTATTTTAAAGTTATTATGAATTTATATTAATTTTATTTTTTATAATGTATATTATTTAGGATACTGATCGTATTTTAGAGACTTTTATTAAAAATCCACGTATACCGACACCGGAACGTATTTGCCATATTTGGCTTTTGCCGGGTTGGGTATATTGCAACAATTATAGGCGGTTGCAAACTCGAACCTGTCCTAATTTCTGCACTGATGAGAGGTGGAGGCCCGAGACACACTTTTCACCTTCCATGTGGAGAGGCGACAATTACATTGGAGGATGTCTCTATGCATCTGGGGCTTCCCGTCGACGGAAATATGATGTGTGGTATGGCGGATGGTGATTGGCAATCAATGTGCATTGATTATCTTGGAGCTGCTCCGCCAGAGTTTAATGGAGGTAGAATAGCTTTATCTTGGTTGAAAGCTAATTTTGAGGTTTTAAATGAAAATGCTTCAGAGGATCAAGCAAAGGCATGTGCTCGGGCATATATTCTACGAATAATTGGAGGAATATTGATGCCCGAAAAATCTCGCAACCAGGTGCATTGTATGTGGTTGCGGCATCTGATCGATTTTGATGAAGCTGGAAGATATAGTTGGGGCGCTGCAGTTTTGGCATTTCTCTTTAGAGAAATGTGTCGGGCGACGAATTATAAGAAAACTGCTATCGGTGGATGTCTTCTGCTTCTACAATCATGGGCGTGGTTCCACATGCCTTTCTTATGCCCGATCGTGAATGAACCATACGTATTCCCCTTATTGTTGAGGTAATTTTCGAACTAAATTTGATTTAAATATTTTCAATTAAATATGGTGATATTTAGTTTATATTATATTTCATAGGTGGTCGATGAAAAGAAAGGACTATAAAAGTATACCTACTGGGTTAGAGGAAATTCGTTTACTTATTGATACGAAAGCTGGGTCTGAGGTATGTTTTTAAATTTGTTTAATTATTAATATTTTAATTAAAATGTTAGATATAATTAGAATATTTATTATTTGAATTGTATATTTATATTTCAGTTTCAGTGGATACCTTATGCGAGCGATGAAGTGAAAGCTTGCATCTCACCCCACCTTAGTGGGTCATTAAAGGTATGGATATCGGTTATACCTTTATGTTATGCTATTATTGAGTGGCATCCAGTTGATCGCGTGCTCCGTCAGTATGGATGTACGCAATATTCCTGGAGCTCCTAGGAATTTAGATGACGTGCACAACATAGATAGACGAGGAAGAAAGATGTTAACTGGGTGGTGAGACACAGAGATTGGATTGCGCTTTGGGAGAACCGATATACAATGTTGGCCCCTCGAAAATATTACGCTGAAACTGGTCATATGGTTACGGATAACTATATGGACTGGTTTAATGAAAATGGGAAGCCGTTTCTACTTTCGGCGGAAGCACGAGGGGTTAACATTCCTAGGCGCCGAGAAAGACGTCAACCGTCTCAATATCATCGTCCCCCGACGCGTGGACGGAGAAAAGGCGCTACCGGTTCTGCATAAGTCCCACCACAATATCCTTATTCGTCGATGCCGCAGGGGTACATGCCCAGCCCTCCACTTCATATGCCAAGCCCACCAGTTTATATGCCATCTCCGCAGGGTTACATTCCGAGCCCGCAGGGTTACATCCTAGCCCGCCAGGTTACATGCATAGCCCGCAGGGTTTTATACCATATGGAGGTGCATATACGTCTATGTTTAATGATCCAGCATATGGTTCATATGCATCTAATTTGGCTGGTGGTGCTTCTCAGCAGACACCTCAATCTCCATATGGATCACAGACATCGATGCCAATGTTTCCACAGTTTTCACAGTTCCCGGGGAGCGGTGGGATTGTTACTAGCACTCATCCAGGGTCGTTATTTTATACAGGCCCTTCATCCCCTTCAGCGTCATTTACACCAAATGAAGAAAATGCTGCTGATGATGATAGTGAAGATGAGGAGACTGAAGAACAAGTTCCCCGAAGAAATCCTCCACGAAATAGACAACCACCGCCATGTGGAACTTATTCGAGAAGACGACATCGATGATCCAATTGTATTTAATGTTATTTAAATAATTATATTTCAGAATTTTATGTAATTTGGTTATGTTATTTAAATGTTTCATGGTTGTTACATACATATTTTTTAATGTTATTTTTTATTCACATTTAACATTAAATGTTTGATAAATGTTTTTAAAATACAAATTATATTATTCAAAATTTAAAATAAAAATAAAAATAATATTATTCGAAATTTAAATTTAAAATATAAATTATAGTATTCGAAATTTAACATTAAATTTCAACTTAATATTCCAATTGTATTCGAAATTAAAAGTTATATTCCAATTATAGTTCACAATACTTAAATTGAAATTAAATTTATCCATACATATGATTTTATCATTAACATATATATTAAAACGTATACATTAAAATCAACTTATGTTGAGTTAATCGATCGACGGAATCGGCCAAGAGGGGGGTGAATTGGCAATTTATTCAATGTCACATTTCAATGCTCATTCCATACAATTTCAATGTCACAATCAACTTATCACTTCACATTTATTCGATTTATCTATAACATTTTATCTAATTTATTCAAACTTTACATAACGTTTTAATTTAAGTTATTCTTAACTTGCTGAACTTTCAAAAGAAGTTAAATTTTGGTTATAATTTACCTGATTTACTGATATATCTAGTGTCCCCGAGATAGGGTAATGATAACATATTCTATGACAAAATAATGGAAGGCGCGCCCCCGGGAACGCGCCTTCAAGTCCCCTGAGAAATAATAGGTACTGATATGAATAATGTCCTCGAGGGACATGAGTGACATAATAGGGCAATGATAACATATTCTATGACAAAATAATGGAAGGCGCGCCCCCGGGAATGCGCCTTCATGTGAATAGTGAAATAATAGGTACTGATATATCTAGTGTCCCCGAGGGACATGAGTGACATAATAGGGCAATGATAACATATTCTCTGACAAAATAATGGAAGGCGCGCCCCCGGGAACGCGCCTTCATGTGAATAGTGAAATAATAGGTACTGATATATCTAGTGTCCCCGAGGGACATGAGTGACATAATAGGGCAATGATAACATATTCTCTGACAAAATAATGGAAGGCGCGCCCCCGGGAACGCGCCTTCATGTGAATAGTGAAATAATAGGTACTGATATATCTAGTGTCCCCGAGGGACATGAGTGACATAATAGGGCAATGATAACATATTCTCTGAAATAATGGAAGGCGCGCCTTCATGTGAATAGTACTCTGATTATAGACACTATTATATGCAACATATTATAAACTTTCAAAACAAACTTCAGTTCACAAACTTTCAAATTCTCAAATTCCCAAACTCTAAATTCTCAAATTCTCTAAAAATGAGTCGTCTTTCTGCTGTTGTTTTGTATGATGGACTAATTAAGGAAGCTGAAGAGGGGGTTATTTTTGAGTCAGATCATTATATCCCCTTAACCTTGAAGAGAAACATCACAATTGAGGAGTTAATCACAAAAATTTCGTTAAAGATTCGTGTAGCAGGCCAGAGAAGACTATCTTCACTTCAGTACAGATTTCCTACTGAACTTTTTCCGCTCACGTATACATCATTTCAGCTTTCAAACGATGATGATGTTTCTATGATGGTTGATGCTCATATGGGGAGTTCACAATCTCTTATTGAAATATATGCCACTTTTATTGAGGTTCGTGCAACTCGTGGTCTCTCATATTCCTCTCACTTTGGCATTGCATATCAAACTGATCAAGTTGATAGCCCGACACAACTGATCTGTAATGATTTCACATCATTAATGGAGGATCCAACGCCAAATACCATGCAATCAAGTTCAATAGGAAGGCATTCATCTGCAATTGCTTATGATCTCAACCCACGTGGCTTCACCAATAATCCATATGGCAACATCTCTTCTACTTCAAGGGGCAGACATTCATCTGCCAATGTTTTCGACTTACATATGGAAATGCCAACGAGACGACAGTCTATTCACATCCCACGTGATACAATGGCCTCAAGTTAAAGGGGAGGACACGCAAGCGGGAACTTATTTGACCTCAACATTGGATTATCGGAGGAACCCTCATCTCTACCAGAAGAACCTCTTCGGGAGCCAGGTGCAGATGGTGCTGAAACGGGATTATTCGTTGAACCTGACTCACCACACGTACATTCTGATGATACGAGGATGACGTTCCGATAAATACAACACCAGCCGAACTTCCTACACATATGTATGAGGCTGATTATGAT